TCAGATGTTGCATGCTCCACAAAGACACAAGTGTTAAAGGATGAACCCTATGGTGGTGCTCTTGGGAGTTGCTGGAACATAAAGAGATGGGTACTAGTGGGTGCTTTGTGTGGTTGAGAGCTTGCTCTGGAACGGGATAGAGGGACCCCATCTGCCTCCTCTTTCTCTCCATTTTTTTTTCCTGGCTATACAGTAAGAATTTTTCTCTATTGCTTTCTCCCAACATGATATGTCGCCTGATCACAGACTCAAAACAATAGGGTTCAATTAATCTTGGGTTGAACCTTCTAAATCTGTGAGCTAAAATCATGCCTTTCTTATTATAACCTGTTATTTCAGGTATTTGCTGGTTAACCCAGAGATACTCTACTGAAGATTAAGTCCAACAACATTAGAGATATCAAATTCATATTCATTGTAATATGTATCTAAGACCCTAAATACAGTATATAGAATAAGAAATATCCCTATTCCTTTAATAAGATAAACAATTCTAATTAAAAGACATTAAAAAGTAATCAAAAATCAATTTATTGTATTTTTACAAATTCCCTTGGCTTAGAATAGTTATATACATACTACAAGAGCCACACCTGTGTTGTTGTTGTTGTTGTTGTTATTATTATTATTATTATTATTATTATTATTATTATAATAAAGAATTACCACAAAGTCCAAGCATCATAATCACAAAGTATGCTCTTTTTCCTGTTAAATTCAAAGTTTTCATAATTCTTTCACTTTTAGGATTTTGCTTCTTCATGGAAATAATTGTTCACTCAAATATGTGGATTGTCTTTAGAAGTCACTTAATACACAATCCTCACCCTTTGTCTTCAGTATATTTCAAATTTTGAGAAATATGTACATAACCATGTGTACAATTATCAAGCATCCCAGACCACATAGATGGCATTAGTGTACCATATATGTTAATAATTCAACAAAAGTAAAAACTTTAGAACAGATTTTTTCATTGCGTTATATTATACAGGTTTGTTTGAATTAATTCCTTGTAATCAGAGGAATGCATCTTGTTTGGTCATTATTTGCTATTCTGTATAGTTTTTTTGTATTTTTTTAAACTCAGTAATTCACAGTGGACTGTTAAAACTGCTTCATTTTACAATCATGCTTAGCATACTGGGAGCCCCCCAAACCAGATTTGAAACAGCCTTCAAAACCTAGTTCAAAGGTTTCACATCATTGCTGTCACAGGGATTAGACATTCTCTTACTTCATCTACCTGAAGGACACTCACTTTCATCATTTTGAATGGTCACATAATTATTTAACTGGAAAAATATATAAAAGATTCAAAGAATAAACATACCTGAACCAATTCCTCATGTGTTAAATTAGCACAATAATTAGACCTAAATAGTTATAAATGATTGAAACAGTATTTTTTTAATATTTAAATTTCTTAAACCAAGTGATTCTCAAGAGCAATGGATCCATGTATTTACCAAAGATATTTCAAATATACTGATACTGTGTCTCTGAATAGAATAAATTTAATCAGATACAGCTGATATTTAAGACTCTTGATGGATAGAAAAAAAACCTGCCATAGAAAATTGTCCAACACTTAAAAAACGATCACTTAATAATATCTATTATTGTTCTCATCAATATCCACCCTGTATATTAAACACATAAACATTAATAATATTTGCCTCACCTCATATTTTGTAGAAATTTGTACTAATACCAGTAAAGCTTTTGTTTCACAGGGGTCTTTGCATGATCATATTTCTTTCTTTTTTTTAATTAGCTACACATGACATTACAATGATCTTGACAATTCATACAGTTGAATCAAATGGGGTATAATTTCTCATTTTTCTGATTGTACAGATTGTAGAATCACATTGGTCATACAGTCACCTATATACATACAGCAATCATAATGTCTATTTTATTCTGCTGCCCTTCCTATCCCCCATTCCCCTCCCCTCCCCTCCCATCACTTCTCTCTACCCAATCTAATGTAACACACTTTTTCTTTTTTTTTCTCCTCACAACATCATACATGTATTCTGTATAACAATGAGGGTCTCCTTCCATATTCTGTGCAATTCCCCTCCTCCCTCCTTTTCCCTCCCACCTCTCTTCCCTAATTAGTGGTAATCTTCCTCTCATGTTCTTCCTCCCTACCCCATTTTGAGTCACCCCCCTTATATCAGAGAAGACATTCAGCATTTGTTTTTTAGGGGTTGGCTAACTTCACTTAGCATAATCTGCTCTAATGCCATCCATTTCCCTGCAAATGCCATGAGCATGATCATATTTTTATGTAGACATTTCCCTCAAAACAAGGTTTTCGTAAATGTGGTGGGTAGATTTTCCTGTCATAGTTTCCACAACATTACTATGGATTTGTATACCATGAACAGTCTCCTAAATCTTAGCTGAACAGTATCCCACACAAGTTTTCACTAAAGTGATCTTAGTACCACAGCATTGTGTTTGAATCTCTCTGTAAGGAACATATATCTACTTCAAATATTTTTAGTGCACAACATTATCTGCAGGAAATGCATACTTTTTCCAGTTAATCATTTTATATTTCTATATTTTAATATACATCTAATAAATTTAGAACACTTATTAAAAGTTTTCCTACAAAGTACCCAAAGCTCTTTTAAATCATACCAATTATACCTAAAACAAAATTATATGCATGAATATTTTAAGTCTGGGGTACACACCTGCTTTAAACACTTTCGAGGATGCATCATCTGACCTCACTTTGCACTTTGCATGTCAGTGTACTATTGTAGTGCTCCATGTAGTCAACTCACAATAGCCAAGATAATCAGCCAAAGTATCATTGGTGAACATGTAGTATATGTACACAATTAAATATTATTCAGATATGAAAAAGAGTAATTTGTGGCAATATGGATTTAACTAGAGGACATCAAGTAAAAAAAAAGTCAAGCATAGAAAGACAGACAATTCTCACTTGCATGTGGAAGACGGAAATGTAAATTTAATTTAAATGGAGAGTAGAGTGGGGGCTCCCAAGGCTAGGGAGTATAAGGGAGTATTGGAGGGAAATAGAAAGAGGTTTTTTTTTTTTAATTGAGTACAAAAACACCCTTATGAAAGAGAAATAAGTTCTTGCTTTCTATAGCACAGTAGGATGACTACAGCTAACAATAATTAATTGTATATTTTAAAGCAGTTAAAGCAGGATTTTAGATATTTCCAACACAAAGAAATGCTCAATCTTTGAAGTGATGGACATGCAAATTGTCCTGATTTGATCATTCCACATTGTATACATGTATTAAAATATCACACTGTATCCTGTAAAAACTGAACAGTGGATTTCATTTGGCATATTGGTGCATGTACATAGCATAACATGCTCAGTATTAATCTCCAATGCCTCCCCTTACCTTCCCTCCTCCCTCTCCCTGATCCCCTTCATCTACCCAAATCAGTTTCCTGACTACTTTCATGATATGATTTTTTTTCTTTTTCCTCTAGCTTCACATATGAGACAAAACATATGATACTTGTCTTTCTGTCTCTGGCTTATTTCTCTGAACATGTTACTGTCCACTTTCATCCATTTTACTGCAAATAACATAATTTCATTCTTCTTTAGACCTGAAAAAAATTGCCTATATATATATATCTATATATATATATATATATATAGGCAATTTTGATATAGGCAAAATATATATATATAGGCAAAATAAGATATAAAGAAAATATGATATATATATCATATTTTCTTTATAAATCTTTTGTCAACAGGAACCTATACTGATTCCACAACTTGGCTATTATGAATTGAGCTGTACATATTAACTTCTTTCATGTCTTCAATTTTTAGAGAACATTTTCATTTTATTTCCATTCTTTATAGTGGTAAAAATACATGAAAAAATCACCATTTTTAGGTTCACAGTTACTGTGGAATTGATTATATTCACATTCTTGTTCAATATCATCATCATGCATTTGTACAAAATTTTCCAATTCCCAAACTGAGCATTTGTGCGTACTTTTAAAAGTCCCTATTCCTCTATCTCCAGTCAGCGTCCAACAACATTCTGCTGTGAAACAAGAAGAGGAATTAAGCACACAAACTGCAAATTAACATGCTGGGACGACAGTTCTATGACCTTAGTTTGGCTGCCTTTTCCAAACTAGATTCCTAACGGATGCCACAGGACCTGAGGTTCGACTGTTCTGCTGTGGAGCCTCCTCATGTCCCTGTTCCTCAGGTTGTAAATGAAGGAATTTGGCATAAGAGTGATCACAGCGTGCATCACTGAAGCTTCCGCACTGCTTCTGGGAGAATGTGATACAATTGAACCAATGTACACCCCAAGATTATCTCATAAAGTAAGAAAAAATGCCAAGTGAGACCCAAAGGTGGAGAAGGCTTTATACTTCTCACCTGATGATGGAGTTCTCTAACAATGGAATGGAGAATTTTATAATAAGAGAAAAAGGATCCTTGAGATGGGATCTTGCAATAATTGCAAGATATTTCACCAAGAAAATAAACGACTATGCTATTAGTGAAAGTGTCAGAACAGGCAATATTAATAAATGGAGAAGGATGGCGGAAGAAGTTGGAATTTCCCACTTACTTAAAATAATAAATTGTACAGCAAACCATTTTTGCAGCCAGGAGTCCAAAAGGCTGACCAAAAATAATACTACAACTAAGAAGACTAAGTAAAGGGTGCAAAATTCAGACATTATATTTAAATTAATGTTCAGTCTTCAGTGATGTCCATCCCCAGTAATTTTTCATCCTCCAAAACTAAAATTTTGTATCCATTTTAAAATAATCCTATTCTTCCTTCTCCAAAATATTACTGCCTCCGTACTATGAAACATGATGATAATTAAAGCATACAAAGTACAAAACTAATGTGACCCAGGAGACATGATTCACGTGTCTACATGTTTACTTGTGCTGTATTTCCAAACTATATTCCAAATGGAAACCACAGGTCCTTAGATTAGACTGTGCTGCTGTGGAGCTTCCTCAGGGTTCTTCTAATGTCCCTGTTCCTCAGGCTGTAGATGAAGGGATTCAGCATAGGAGTAACCACTGTGTACATCACTGAGGCCACTGCACCCTTTCTGGGAGAATTTGATACAGCTGATCCAACATACACTCCAAAGCCTGTTCCATAAAACAAGCAAACTACTGAGAGGTGAGACCCACAGGTGGAGAAGGCTTTGTACTTCCCACCTGAGGATGGGATTCTCATAATGGAGGAAATAATTTTATAGTAAGAGTAAAAGATTCCTGAGATGGGAAAGAAACCAGAGATGGTGACAACAAAACACATTACTATATTATTGATAAAAGTATCAGAACATGAAAGATTAAGAAGTTGAGAAGGGTCACAGAAGAAGTTAGCAATTTCCATATCCTTGAAGTAAGGAAGTTGTAAAACAATCAAATTGTGCAATAGTGAGTCCAAAAGGCTAACTAAGAAAGACATCAACACTAAGGAGACACAGCGATGAGGGTTCAAGATGACTGAGTAATGCAGAGGGTGACAGATGGCCACAAACCGGTCATAGGCCATCACAGTCAGAAGCATATCATCCATACATCCAAAAATGATAAAAAGAGACATCTGTGTCAGGCAGCCCATGTAGGAGATGACTCTGCTGTGAGTCTGGATGTTCACAATCATCTTTGGAACCATAGTGGAGATGAAACAGATGTCTGTCAAAGATAGGTTGGCAAGGAAGAAGTACATGGGGGTGTGGAGGTGGGAGTCAGAGCTGACAGCCAGGATGATGAGCAGGTTCCCAAGCACTGTGACCAGGTACATGAACAGGAATAGTCCAAAGAGAATGGGTTGAAGTTGTGGATCTTCCGAGAGTCCTAGGAGATGGAATTCTGAGAGATGTGTTACATTTTGTGGTCCTTTATTGTTTGGACACCTTTTGAGAAAGAAAAGCCAATGGGAAAAAGAAGAGGCACCAAGAGTTCTGTATATATCTTAAATTCAATTATTCAACCTTCCAAACTTGTGTTCCATGACTTTTAGAAACATTTCTAATTTTTGACATATCCAGTTTTCCTAGAACTCTTTCATTATTTGTATCTGTGTTATTTACCTCTTGTTCACAACTACTTTAGAGACACTCAACTATCTAATGTTAGATGACCAAGCACATTACACACAACAAGTTCATGATCCCAGTTAAATAACAACCAACTGTTTAAGATAAAATAGAGAATAAGACATATTCTTTCATATTGAAAGAACTTTAGCCTGTGGAATACATCTCATTTTATTCAACAACCATGGTGTAAGTTCAATTAACTTAGAATATTTGTAAACAAACTATGTTCTAGAAATGAAATATCTGCACATCAAATAAAAGTTGGCTGTTTGTAATTTAAAAAAAACTTGCCAGTTATCTGTTAGCAAATAAATCCACTGTTCTTTGATTTTTCCAATTTCCCTCCTTCAAGGATATACTTGATCTGTCAAATATAGTTTATCTCCTAAAAATCATTTAATATATAAATTTTATCCTCTAGGGCCTTCCAATCTGCTTAATTGTTTTGCTGATCATAAACCTTCTTACATCTTAGCACCTCAACATCAGGAAGAGTCCCAAACCCAAGGTTTGAGTCCCCACTTTCTTATGTTTAGATTTTCACATCAATCCTTCCTAACATATGGATTGCAATTGTCTCACTTCAACTACCAAAAGGCAAGTCAAGTTCGTTAATTTGTCAACTCTGATTTAATTGGAGAAAATTGTAAAGAAAAGAATAGGACACCTCTGGTGAGTTTTCTGATTTGCATAATGGAGGTGAAAATTACATACCATATAGGGTTGTTACAAGGAAGTGTTTAAAAAATCTTTTGTATTGTATAAACTAGTATTTCTCAGTTTCATTTATCAATACATTTATTGGCTAACTTTTTTAAATATTCAGATACAGTGACTACAAACCAAATTAATTTAATCATACTACCTGCATGTGAAGTTCCTCATGACCCTTTTCTACAGTAGAGTTGAGAATCACTGCCTTTGTGCACTTCAAAAAAGCTTCATAGTAATAATTTTTATTAATGTCAATAATATTCACTACCCCCATTAAAATAAAAATAATATATTATTCAAAAATAATATTTAAATGTTTTATTGGTGTATATTAATTATGCAGAATAGTGGGTTCTTTGTGGCATTTTTACACATGCACATAATTTGACCAATTTCACTCCCCAGTCCTCCCTTACCTTCTCACCTCTCCAATTTCCTTCTTCTACACTAATGGCCTCACTTCTGTTTTAGTGAGATCCCTATTACCCTTTATAGCTTCCACATAGAAACATAAAACACTTGTCTTTCTAAGTCTGTCTTACTTTGCTTAACATGATACTTTCAAGTTCCATCAGGTTTCCAGAAAATGACATAATTTCATTTTTTCTTTTTGGCTTAAATTTCTATTCTGTAGTCACATTACATTCAAAAATCATATTTGATAAAAGATTTGATGGTTGTCCATGAAATTTCAGTTTTTCATATCTAACAAGATTACATTCTCCTGCTCTTCTGTCCCCCCAAAGCAACTAATAACAGGAATTTAGTTAGTGTATTTTTCAGTCACTCTCCTCATGTCCTATTGACTTATGTGTCCATGAACAGCATTTGAGAAAACTTCCTAAAGGAACTAAAACCCATTTCTCCTGAAATGTGCTAATTTTCAGTGACGTGTTTACTTACATGTTTCTATAAAGTGCATATAGCTACTTCAAATGCTTTAAATTACTTACAGCATTATCTGGGAAGGAATATCATTTAATTTTTTATCATTATGACATCTTTTCAAAATTCTTATTCTCCCTATATCACAAGTGAGAATTTCTATGTAATATGTGTGTATTAGATAATGGTTGACTTCCAATAATTGAGACATGTACAGTTTTACTATTAATCACATGTATCATTTCAATAGAATATTAGTTACTATCAATATATTCTCTTATTGTTAAGATACACCATAAAAAATATCCCTGCAGTAGGCCTAATAATAATCATTCCATGGTGTCATGCTAATAGATTTCATCTCCTATAGGAATATTATTTCCATTGGCTACAGTAGAGGATGGAGACAAGTAGGGAGGCAAGAAATGAACATCTTGATTTCACACCATTAACCTTCTATAATCTGTAGAATGTGTATAAATCTTTGCACTTCTCTGAACTTATACTACTTAATGGAAATGGAAAGAATAACACTTATCTATTGTACATATCTGACATATTAGGGAAGTTTAGAATTTAATAAATATTTGGCCATCATGTTTAAAGAAATAAAGAACTGAATTCTTATGAAAATGTGAATTTATGATAAATGCAATTGTCAAAGGGTACTCATTCCTGGGATGACTGGAAACTCTAAACCGCGTCTCACTCCAAGCAATAAGAATCATATAGCTCCTTCTCTATCTGCAACTTTTTGTCATTCTATACCCATGAAAACCTCTACCATAGTCAGTGAAAAACTAAATATTGCAGATGCTGATAATTGGAATTATTGAACCAATATGTCCATGACATAGACAAATAAAGAGCTATTTTATCTTATCCCCAGTTCTATGGGACATTCTTGAAAGTGATGAAAGTACAGACAGAAGAAAACCATTTGATTATGGCCATTTTCTGTGAAAAAAGAATGATCTATTCAATATTTATCTGTGATTTTTTTGGTGATGCCTCCTTTTTGGTGAACAAGGAATAGGTACTAAGGAATCGGAAATGAGAGTTAGTCATTTCTCACCAGATATATAGCATATAATTACATAATGACAAAAATAAAATGCTCTACTACAGATATAGAAAAAGAGTAGCTTCAGGTCACAGGACATTTTTGTTGAATGGTATGAAGGTTAAAATCATCATTATTAATGCTATAGTCTAAGTTTTATTTTGCACTTATTTCATATAACCATTTATCCATTCTATATTAATCATATACAAAGAATGTTTTATCTGTAATCCTTACTTGGTGAAGTTCTATCAACTATAATTCAACTCAGATGATCATGCTGAGTGTCAAAGATACTAAATATTTGCCCTACATAACAGAGATAATAAATGGAGAATTGGGGATATAGCTCATTGGTGGAGCACTTGCCTAGCACACATGAGGTCTTGGGTTCAATCCCCAATAGTAATCTAAAGAAATAAAGAGAAAGAAGGGGATGGGGAGGAAGCAGGAGGTAAAAGGGAATAAAGGAAGGAAGGAAAGAAGGAAAAGTGAATCCAACAGCATTAAAAATTATGTTGTCAGTCTCTAGATCTGGAACACTGAAATGTTTGTTTCTCAATCATCAGTTTTAAGGAGAGGCCCAGAGGCATTAACCACAGACATCTAAAGTGAATTTTAAGGTCTCCAGATTCCTGACTAGGAGTGCCAGGAGCCAATTTTATTGAGATAGAGTGGCAGATTGTAAGAATGATGGAAGATGGAGAGAGCTGCATGCATGTCTCAAGATGAGGGGGAGAGAGGTCTGTGCTGAATTACACGTCATTGCTTTGTGACCTCTGCCTGTGACCCACAGTTCTCCTGCCTATAGCTCATACAGCAGATGTAGAATACATCTCATTTTATTCAACAACAATGGTGTAAGTTCAATTAATAAAATAAAGATGACTCCACTGTGATCTACCTGGAACCTCCAGAGAAAAGAAAACAGGAAGCAAGCACTCTCTCCTGGAGTGAGAGGGAAGTGAATAGCAGGTTGAGTGTCAATAGCACAACATGCCAGCATTCTATTGGCAAGAATGACCTGAGTCCTAATCAGATTTATTCAAGTAAGGCCTCCCTCATTTCTACCTACCTAGCTAGTGTGCATTACATAAAAAGGCTGTGCTTCTTCCTTCCTGTAAGAATTTTAAAAGTAGGAATCTGTATTTGGAGAAAACTATGTACATGAAATGAAACAGTAAATGATTTTATGCCTACTATCATCCTCCTCATCATCACCACTGTCTGAATGATGAAGGTTTTGGAGTGCTTATGAAACCATTTACAGGAACCAGTTTTAGCTAATATGGGTAAGATGTCTATAGAAGGAGAACTGGTGGGGTGGAAAGCATTACTTTGGATGAGATTTTTTTTTCACCTTCACCACAAATAACATTGAATTTAAAGTTAACATATCTGATTTTTTTCATATAGTTATTCTCCCTTCTGCCAAATGTAGTTGTTGTGTATTTGAATAATAAAGAAATAACACTTCAGTTGTCAGTCCTTCCTCTATCCCTGACTCCCTCAGCACTTACTTGGTTACACTCTGTGTCTGCTGTGTCATGACCAAGTACTATGGATCCAACACTCATCCTCTGCCTGAAGCCCAGTGAAGATTCAGACTCTGTCCTCACAATTGATATGAATATGTGACAGGAGCTTTCTGGAGTAGAAAACCATTGGAGAGCAGACACAGATATAGAGTCCACTTGACTAGAATCATCATACTGAAGGCTGAAGACACAAGTTGAATATTTACTATTATATGCCCTTGGAGTCTCAATGCACAATGCTCATAATTAGACAAATTGGTCTATGTTGTCCCAACCTCTGTGGAATTAATAGATATTAATGGAGAAAGAAGTATTAGAGAAAAAGAATGCCCACCACAGATTTTAAACCTTCATGTACTCTGGAGGATGCTCATGTGTAATATTTACTTCATTTGTATCTTTTCTAAAGAGTCATCTTTATTTTATTCCATTTGTACTGTGCTAAAGTACACATAAAAGAATTTACCATTTTATCACTTTAAAATATGCTCCTTGGTGGCATTAATCTCATTTACATTGTTGTGAAACCATCAATATTATCCATCTCCAGAAAGTTTTTATTTTCTCAAATTGAAACAGTGCCTATTTTTAAAAAATTCACATTTCTCTCTCCCACCAACTGTGGAAATCATCTCTATACTAAATAAGATGGTGGAAGTTAAAAATGTTAAACTACAAAAACAATGAAACTAAGAAACTAAGAAAGAAAGCAGGATTTATAGGATAGATAGGATAGATTTGTTGCCTTTTCCAACCAATATTCTAAAAGGAAGCCACAGGTCCAGAGATTAGACCATTCTGCTGTGGAGACTTCACAGGGCACTCTTCATGTTCTTGTTTCTCAGACTGTAGATAAAGGGATTCAGCATGGGAGTGACCACAGTGTACATCACTGAGGCCACTTCAACCATTTTTGGAAAATGTGATACAGCCGAAGCAAGGTATATTCCAATTTCTGTTTCAGAGTGTAAGCAAGCAACTGATAGGTGAGAACCACAGGTGGAGATTACTTTATACTTCACACCTGATGCTGGGATTCTCAAAATGGTAAAAACAATTTTATATTAAGAGAAAATTATACCTGAGAAAGGAAGAAAACCATAGATGGCACCAACAAAATTTGTGATTATGATTTTGGTAAAGGTATAAGAACAGGCAAGACTAAGGAATTGAGAAGGATCACAGAATAAATTGGAAATCTCCACATTTTTGAAATAGGATAAGAGTTATAATTAATTATCATAGTAAAGTTAATCACTATACTGTTTGACCTAAATATCCTGTGACCTTGTGTTATGGTTTTCGTAGATCCCTAATTGCAACTTTTTGTTCTTATATAAGTAAATATTGAATATTTGGAGAAGAGTAACTGAATCATTCATTTTGGGATTTCCAAGAGCCTAAGTCTTCCTTGGCACAGAGGATGTATTATTCATTATCTGTTTAAGCCTTACTCAGTATAGTTGTCTCAACTAGATATTAATTCAGTGACAACATAGAGTCTCAGAGATATAAAGAACTTGCTCTATGTCACACAGAAATAAGTGGAGCCAACATTGAATTTTAGTCTGAGTCCTACTCTGTTCCTCTTAATTGTTTCTTGATATCCTGAACATTAAATCAGTGTTCTAGAAGACTTAACCACAAGTACATCTAAGGTACATTTTTAACTCTAGTTTCCTGAGTAAGAATGGAACTCAAGACCTTGACTTGAGTTTTGTGACTTGTGGAATGATTGCAAGAGTGGATGAAGAAGTGGGTGATTGAAGTGAAGTGGAGTGGGGATGAGAGAGAGACTTGCCATGGCCTGTCATGTGTGAACTCTTTCTGTGACCTGTCTTTGACCTCAGCCATTCTTCATAGAGTTGATGCAGCAGGTATCACCCACTGGTTTCCACTGTGATCTACTGTGAACACTAAGGACAGGGGAAGAGCACAATGAGCAAAGGGGAATATTCCTGGAATTAAAGGAAATGAAATGGTTGGTTGGGTTGTCAAGAGAGAAAACTGACCAGGTGCCTTTGAGTCATAAATTCTGAATTTGAATCTGATTTCACCCCCTGTCCTACCTGAAAAAGTAGTGCAAGTTTCGTAAAAATCCTATACTCCTTTTATCGTCTCTAAAATAATAATAATGTGACCAATAACAACTTGGAGACTATGCAGATGAAATGAAAGAGGCTACATGGAATACATAGCAGAGAGCTTGGCAATTAGCAGGCCCTTCATAAAGGCTCATGATGTCATGGTTGGTGCTGTCTTTTTTGTGATGGTTAATCTGAATTGTCAACTTGATTGTATTAATAGATGCATAAGGTTAAAAGTCTTCTGGGTGTGTCATTGAGGGTGTTTCTGCATGCAGGACAGTGAACTGAGACAATCCACCTTAATGAGGGCAGGATGGAATCCTGGATGGAACAAAAATATGGAAGAATTAGGAAGCAGAAGCAGATGCAAACATAAAAGACATTCTTCACAGAAGTAGGAAAAGCAATTGTGAAATTCATTTGGAAAAATAAGAGACCCAGGGGCCCAGCCAACGCCTGCAAGGAAGGCAGGCCGCGCATCCCGGAGAAGGGGCCCAGCAGCCCACTGGCGTGGTAGACAGATCGCCCCAATTGGAGGAGGGGCCCAGCCGCTGCCCGTGCCTGCAAGGTAGGCAGACCTGCGACCTGGAGAACAGACCCAGCGGCCCACCGGCACAGTATACAGATCACCCGAATTGGAGGAGGGGCCCAGCTGCCGCCTGCAAGGTAGGCAGACCTGCGACCTGGAGAAGAGGCCCAGCGGCTCGCCTGCGCGGTAGACAGACCTCCCCAGTTGGAGGAGCCCAACCTCCCACCGGTGCGGTAGACAGACCATTTCAACAGGAGGAGGGGCCCTGCCACTGGCCGGTGCAGTCACCTGACTGAGCTCTTGACAAACATAAGGTTTCCCCAACACCCCCACCTCATCAAAAACATTATGAGAAAAACTGATGGAACTCATCTTGGAAAATCCCACCAACCCTTAAAACCCACCAACCGGTTGGCTGGCATGACTACCAGTGTGGTTCTGCAGCAGATCAGGCACCTGGTTTACATCTCAGAGAATAAGAGTAGAGAGGCCATAGGTGGAAGCTCAAGTCCTCTCACACTGTCTACCACCACCATCCTGAACCCAGAGACTTAAGCTAGGAATAGACAATGCCACCAACTGGAAGAAATGAAAACAGAGTTCTGAGAGACATTTTTTTCTTTTTTTCTTTCTTTTTCTCTCTTCTTTCTCTCTTGTCAGCCATTCACACAGTCTTCTCTACCCTTCCCCCTAGGGTCTTCGCAACCTCAACATATATGAAACCAAAAATTGTGCATGAAAAAGGTCTTTAACAACTGAATCACCAGAATAATATACTATAGAGGAATTGCATATGCCCCACCTCCCTTCCCCCTTTTTATTTCTTTTCTTTTTTCTCATATTTTCTTTTTCCTGCTCTCTTTTTTCTCTTCCTTTCCTTGTTATTTGTTTTCCTCCCTCTTACTCCCTCTATCCCACTTGCAACCCCCTAAATTTTACTATTCATAAGTAGGGTAATCTTATAAATGCAGATAGGAATTTGAATCTATACACTCTTCCATAAATTACCCATCTATTGGTTAGAGCTCTCCAAAGTTACTAAGTTAGATTAACCCCATACCCTCACTCCTTTCCCCATTAACATAACATCCTACACCTGAAATTCAGTTTTCTTCAAGCTACCAGAAACGGTATGCCTTTCATGAAACTAATGACTATATTTGTAAACGATAATCAAAACCAACATTTGTAGACATAGAGTCTAGCTATAAATGTAGTAATAAGGAAAACGTGTGCTTAGATAATGTACTATTGATATTGAGAACTGTTAACATTGTCTTTCTCCACAAAAGGGAGACTTTGCAACTATACAAGAGCAATATAAATATATAGGGGGAAAATTCAACAACACAACAGTTTCACCAAGCAGAAAGAAACACGAGCAGTATGAAAAGACAAGGAAAGAATGGACCACAAGCAAAGCAGGTCAACTCAACTTTAGAAGAGGTAATATCTGCAGCATATGGAATGTCAGATAAAGAATTCAGGATATACATGCTTCAGATGATCTGGAGTCTCAAGGAAGACATTAGACAGCAAAATCAGACAATGAAAGATCACTTCGACAATGAATTACATAAACAAATCCAAGAAGCAAAAGATCAACTATACAGGGAGATAGAGGTTATAAAAAACAAACAGAAATCCTAGAAATGCAGGAAGCAATAAACCAACTTAAAAACTCAAATGAGAGTACTACCAACAGAGTAGAACACTTAGAAGATAGAACATCAGACAATGAAGACAAATATTTCAACTTGAAAAGAACATAGAGAGCTCAGCGAGACTGTTAAGAAACCACGAGAAGAACATCCAAGAAATATGGGATAACATAAAGAGACCAAACTTAAGAGTCATTGGGATACAGGAAGGTATAGAGGTCCAAACCAAAGGAATGAGCAATCTGTTCAACGAAGTAATACGAGAAAACTTCCCAGACTTGAAGAATGAGACAGAATCCCAAATCCTAGAGGCCTACAGGACGTCGAATGTGCAAAATCATAAGAGATCCACACCTAGACACATTATAATGAAGATGCCCAACATACAGAATAAGGAGAGAATTTTAAAAGCTACAAGAGAAAGGAAGCAGATTACATTAAGGGGTAAACCAATCAGGATAACAGCTGATCTTTCAACACAGACTCTGAAAGCTAGAAGATCCTGGAATAACATATTTCAAACACTGAAAGAAAATGGGTTCCAACCAAGAATTGTGTACCCAGCGAAATTAAGCTTCAGGATAGAAGATGAAATTAAAACCTTCCACAATAAACATAAGTTAAAAGAATTTGCAGCTAGAAAACCATTTCTTCAAAACATCCTTGGCAAAACATTACAGGAAGAGGAAATGGAAAATAACAATGAAAACTAACAGTGGTAGGTAGTACAGTAA